GAGACACTTCCATTGATAATTGGTGCATGCCACTTATGAGTTAATTGCGGATTGGATTGATGCAAGTCGTTTGCGGCACTCAATGGGTCAACAGATATCTTGGGGGCGTAAAAATCTTAATTTGCGTGTCCCGCTTTATTGCATTCATTCTGGTCAGAACCTTCTAATAATAAGTTTTATAAGTCCGGTTGCTTGTTGCAAATTGCATTTGAAATTAGTAATTTATTTGTAGGAGCTTTCCCTTTAACATTTCAATTTAATCCCTAGCAATTTATAATTCACTCAGCCATTTAGAAATCGGCTTAGGATTATAAAAATTAAGAAGGATGAAAAGTGCCCAATTGAGAGATATAAAAACACTATTCCACATTTGAATTCCACATTTTTAGCTGCCATTTACTTTGAATTCGCTTTAATGCCTTTGGCTTGAGCAACTTGATCAAACGAGCAATTTGTATGCATAAACCGCTTGCCTGTTTCACTTCACATCTCTGGCAACAGAATCCTCGGGGGTCGCAAAGAATTGCCATAATTAAATTAACTTTTCGCTGAAAATTCATTCCAAAGTCATTATCAATAATCAAGCCACGGCGTCAAAAGGGGGCGCTATGTATGTATGTGCATGGAAGGTGGCTTTTCCACAATTTTTCTTCCCGTTCATCCCCCTCGGAAGTTAGCGCACTTAAAACGCGCTTATTCTTGATTGGCATAATTTATAAAGTTTTTTCCGTGTTGCCATGGAGCAAGGAGCATCGGATGTGGATGTGGATGTTCGAGCTCATGAGATAGCGATGGAGCGATGGTAAAAAGCTTTTGAGGGGTCCTGGCGCACGCTCACATGTGCATGCATTTTTTTAATTATTGGAAATGTATAAAAATCAAATTGAATTGTGTATAAACTACACATATATGCGGCGAGGAAAATCTGTACTCATACTCATTGGCACTTAACCCCGAAAAGTTCTGTACACCCCAGCCACTCATAAAATTTCGATGAGCGGTAAACACGCAGAGTAATTAACGTTAAAGTGCATCCCCAGTTACGATCCGCTTTCACCGAGCCGATTCAATCAATTTATTTATCACGGAAAAGAAAGCTCTGTTAAGCATACGAGTAATATGGAAAATGCAATATTGATGCACTTTACTCCCAACCTCGAGTGCATCCTGCGAGAGTCCTGAGTCCTGAGTCCTGGAGTGTAAGGTTGCACGTAAGCCAATAAGCGGCATCGGCGGCTGTGGCACATAAATAAAGGAGTTAATCATCATATTGATAGAGACATGGCGAGACTTGAGTGAGACGACTCCGAGAGTGTGGAGTGTGTGGGGTGTTAACCCATTAAGAACTTTGTGGTAGCTTAAAAATGCATTCCACGCCGCGGAGTGCTGTTTTCACTAGCTGTTCAATTGGGTTAACAAACAAAAGGCAAAACAAAGTTTAAGCTCTTTATTTTACTTTCTTATTTAACCGTTGAGCTGAATGGTATAGCTTCAGTTATAGTAAAGTGCTGCTTTCTCCTTGCTCGTAGCCTTTAAATCAGCTTTATAAGTCAGTCATGACGAATGTTTCGTTACGAAACTAATCATTGGTATGCTGAGGTGCGCACTTCACTAGTTTTTGAGCTCGTTTATCGCCACATTTTCCCGCTAATCCAATTCAGTTTAAAGTCGTTTTTTTGTCCCTTTTTTCAAAGTTGTTCGCCCCATAATCAATGGAAAAACTTTTCGAAATATGCTGCAAACACTTTGGGCAACTTTAGCACCATTCAGTTAATGGGTTAAGCAGCGTTTTTCGCACAGCTTAAATGCCGCGAAGGATGCATGGAAATTTATGCAAAGTTGGGTTGTGGTGGCGAAAAGGGCAAAAATTACAATGGCCGATGCTGCTAATGATTGTTGTAATCGGTTTTTGCATGCGGGTCGACCGCGATCCTCCAATCGATGTGCTGTGTTGTTTAGGAAACAGCAGCTGCTGCTTGTCCTGCCGCTCGTCCTGCGGCTCGTCCTGCAAACAGCAGCCACTCGGATGTCCGTCTCATCATTTGCATGACCATCGATTACCAGCGCACCACATGCCGATGGGGAAAACACGGGCGACTGGCGCGCCAAATATGCGAATTACTTCCAGAGCAGCAGGAAACAGGACGACGGCAACGGCGTGTCCTTGGGTATATGAAATCGGGCCAGAGATAGTGGATATATGCACATAGAGCTGGATGGTAAAATGTGTTGCTGTCGCGGCGGCCATGAATGAATGAAAAGTGCTTAATTGCTTGTGACGGCGTTAAATAAATTCTTAATTGCTTCGCACTTTGCGCGTTTGCAACGTTAATAGGATTTCCGTCGCCTGCATGTCGCCAGGATATGCACATCGCCAGCTCCTCCGGTTGCTCCGGCAGCTACTGCTCCTCCTGGCCGAAAAACTTCTTTCCTTTGCGTTTTATTGCCGTTAATTTCCGCGGAATTTCGGAATTTTTTTTATATTTCCACCCCCCTTACAGCCCCCCGTTTCGGCCAGCCGCCGTACAAATCCTTTTAGCCAAGTGTCATCCAGGCCAGGAGCAGCCGGCGGCACATCATTTGCAAGGCAAAGCGCTAAATTTCATTTTGCATACGCGTGTGTCACGCGTGTCCACCCACGCGTCCTCGTTACAAAGTTACCACACTGTGAGAAATACATGTATATTACTCAAATGGCTCAGTAGCAAAACAAAAGCTTAAGATTCAACAGGAATTAAACAAAACAAACAAAATCCGGTTGCTTAGTAGGCAAAGTATACATCCCATCCCAATTGTTCGCAGTGCACTTGTGCCTGCGTGTCTCTGGCTGTTGACGTATAAAAAAATTAAAAATGCATTTGTGACGTGCTCGCAAAAGAAATGCAGCACACGTTGCAAAAACTAATGACTTAATAGCTCGCTCGCTTGTGGCAAGGACGTCACCACCAAGCTAAATGTGGCTAAAGTGCACTCAGTAAATGCAAATCACAAATTTGGACCTACTCACTGGCCGATTATGGGCGATTATGGCCAATTCGGCTGATGGACTGCGACAAGTTAAACGCTTAAATACCGATTACGCAGCGCTGGCCAACAATTACAAGGAAAAGCGGAAAGAAAGTGAAAAGAAATTGTAATAAATTCGAGAAAGTCGCACGGCAAACCCCAAAAATCGAGTTGGCATGCTTCTTTTTTGTTTTTTGCCGAACAAGAATTTTAATTTCACTTCCTCACAACACTTGGCAACTTGGGATGGAATCTCTCTTGCCGTCTGATGGTGCTTCAGTGGATCAGGGAAACGTGAAGAGTGTGTGGGTGGAGTGTCTCGTAATGAAATTTACATAATTTAGAAAGACATTTGAGCAACTTTCTTTTGCCGCTGTACGCGTATAAACAAGACATTTCCGCCACTTTAATTTTCAAAAGCTTACACTTGAGATTTTATTGGCCAATTCATTGTTGGCCATGGCGCGCACGGAAAAAGGGCGAAAAGGGCGAAACAGAAGCCAAAAAGTGCAAGAGAAAAACTTGCGAAAAAATGCGAAAAATAAAGGGGGAATCGCTGTGAAGAAATTGCAACAAAAAGACAGCAGTTTAAGTTAGCTGCTAAGAACTTGAGTTGCTCTTTAGTAACTTTAGATTTTAAAACTTTGTACCAGCTGTATTCATATTTTTGAGAAACTACCTAAAATACTTACCCATTTTACATCCTATTTATAGGTATTTACAGTCACTTCTTTAATTGCACTTTATCTGAACTTTCAACCTGTCTCATAAAATGGTATACCCTTTAAAAGATAAAAAGAAAGCAGCAAACTTTTGCCACAGCTGTCCGCTCGATTCGGCGTCCACTTTTTATAGAGGGTGTCGCTTCGATTTTCATCTGGGCAAGTTTAAAACTCAAACGCGTCGCATACGATTGAGCGAGTTGCAATTTATTTGCATAAAGTCAGTGAGCGACTGGCAAGTATATGGAATCAAGGATGCAGGATCCAGGAAGCGGAACGTGATCTCCGCTGACGTTTAATGTTGGTCTGAGAGGTGGAGGGGGAGGGGGAGGGGGGCACTGCAGCTGGTGCGGCTTATGTCAAAGTGGCCAAGTTATTGAATAGTTACGACAAGTCATAATATAAAATAATAATCCCCAGCTGACTTTTCCACTTTTTCCCTGCAGCGACCTGCTGAAGAAGCTGTCAGTTAAGGCCGGCCTTATTGGCTGCTTCCGTGGGCTGGTGGTCAACGGCGAGATTCTCGACATCTACAGCTACATGTCGGTGCATCTGTCGGAGATTATCAAGGACTGCAAGCCATCCTGCGTCCCATCGCCCTGTCGCAATGGCGCCCAGTGCAAGGAGCTCTGGAGCAGCTTTAAGTGCGTTTGCAACAATCCTTGGGCGCATATCGGCGAATTCTGCGAGACAAGTGAGTGAACTTGATTTAACGTAGTATAATCATTCAAACTCTTTAAGGGCTTATTTTGATGTTTATGAATCGAATCTGCTTTCTTTGCAGACATCAACGAAAAGGCTCTCACCTTCATCAACCGGGAATCCTTCCTGATGCGAAATTACCTGAGTGTGGGTGCCACACCTGTTATCCTAATGCACGGAATCAATGGCGAACGGGATGTCCTGAAACGAATCCTCAACCAAGATCTACTGATCAATCTACGAACTTACGACACGAATGCTTTGGTGCTCTATGCCAACGATCATTATAACAACTTTGTGCACCTGTACATTAGTCTGAACAGGGAGATTGTCTTCCTTTACAACTACGGCGATGAAATTGTGAATCTCACGCTGCTAGATGACACCCTAATGGCGTCCTTAAAAAGCATTCAAGTGGCCATCGTGCGAGCTGAACAGGAAACCAGGATGCATGTAAACGAGCGCAGTGTGAGCATCGATAGAGGCACTCTGCTCCTGGATGAGTACGCCAACAAGCCTTGGAGTAATCCGGAAAAGGGTAAGTGCACTGAATACATTCAAATTCACAATGGTATTTATTTAAGCCAGTAACCCAAGACAGGTTTCACAAAGAAACACTAATGTTGTCCAAGTACTATACGTTCATTTTTACAAATATTTCGTAGCCTGGTTCTGTGAAGAACCAGCTTTGAAAGACCCAACGATTCCCCTGCCCAAAACTACTTTCGTCACTTCCAGCGGCTGCCCATCTTAGATGTTTTGCTATGGGTGTTGCTGCTGCTGTTTTGGTGCTGTTCATCCTGGGCGGCCAGCTCCTCATCGATGAGCAGTTCGAAGTTGCCCAAGGCATCGGCACTGGGCACCTTGTTCCAACGCACATCGGGCACTCCATCTGGTGGCAAAACCACGGACAGTATGTTGTCGATCAGCTTGTATTTTAGAATCCTGTCGTTTACGGTGGTTGAAGTGAGCGAAGGCGAGGCATTCACCTCCACCAGCCAGGGCTTCAAGGCATTGTCTATAATGATGTCGTAGCCATAGCACTCGAAGCAATGCCTATCACTGGCCATCACTGGAGCCACAGCTCGCAGGGAGTGCACTATGAGCCAGGATATGGCTCCAAACAGGCGATCCGTAACCTCTTTTCCCCGAGTTCCTTCCAGATACAAGGCCAGGTTTTGCACAGACCACTTGCCGCCGTGTAGGGTATTATACTCGCCACCATGTTTCTGCACACTCACGTTGGTCAGATGTACGTACATATTATCCAGTTCCGTAACACTAGTATCGTATTTAACAGTGCAAAAACGGCAGAATCCCTGCTTAAATAAATAAGCCTTTAGTGGCCTGAACGAGGCCACAAGGACATACAGACGAAGATCAAACTTTTTGCCACCAATTAAAAGCGGATTGTCTATGTATCTGGATATCACATACGATTCCTTGGCGATTTGCGGGTGAAATGGACCCTTGGCCTCCCTGGACCATTTTTTGAGCTTGGATAGCTTGTTTATAAGGAAGATGCCCGCTCCTTGGGACTTGCCACAGGGTTTCATGATCCAAGTGCTCAGCGGAAACTTGCGATATTCCTCCACGAACATATTATAATCTGCTGGCAGCACAAAGGTGGTGGGCACAAAATCCAGATATAGATACCTGGTGCCACTGGAGTTGTTCGATTCCGTTTTCTCCGCCAAAGGATTGCCATCCCTTTCGAGATCCTTGCGATAACGCTTGATGTTCTTGACCAGTAAGTCCTTGCGGGATAGTTCATAGTGATTGGGAAAATGATTTATCATCTGGTTATCGTGCATCCTATAACCACTATCCACACTGAATATATTCCGGCAGGTCTGCACCCCAGCCCAATAGAAATGCCAATCATCATCGCCGTTCACCTGATGCCAGCCGCGTTTCTCGAAATTGTTGACCAAAACCGATTTATCCAGGTCCGTGCAGAAGCCAATTTTCAGTTTATCGTGTCCCTGGGCACCACCACTAGCACCACCGCCGCTATTTGCGCCACTATTTGAGGTGCCATTCGTCACGGACTGGTTTGCACCGCCCGCCGTGCGACCGTACATGTTCGTACCGCTCGTGGTGGTCCTTGTACCGCTCCAGCGAACTGTCGGCTGCAGACTGTCGGTCCGCCACGCCTGCGTCCATTGACTCATGTCCCAGACAACGGCCATGTTGCCAACGTTCCAGATTATTGAACCAACAAGCCGAAATTTATTCACAACCCTTTTTTGCCTTCTTTTGGCGCTCTAATATGGGGCATGGTTGCCAGGCGGCACTCCTTTTGTTTTTTTCTATATAAATTTATTTATTTATTTTTTTACTTTTTTGTTATTCGTGTGGGAAGTCGAAAGAGCGCAAAAAAGCGTTGCACCAAAATTTTCAAATAGTTTAGCAAGTTGAGCTGCAGGAATGCCAAAAATGTTCCCCCTCACAAAATCTGTGCACTGTGTGATGGCCAAATTATGTGCACTTGAATTTTTTCTCTTCAGTTTTTTGGGCGCTTTTTATTTTTTCGTTTTATTCAGCGAACAGTGTGTGTTTGAAAGTGGCCGTTAAACTCGGTAGAAAACTGTTGGAAAAAATAAAAGCCATGCGAATGGATAAAGTTTTGCTCTATGGCATAAAAACAACGAGTTGCTTTGTAGTTTGTTGATATTTGAAAGCGTTCAAAGTTTTTATTTCGCTTTTGCTCACTCAATATGTAAATTGAACTGCATTTCAATGGTAGATAGTGTGCGGAAATTGTTGTTAAACGAGGGAAATGCATATAGAGTTGATTATGATCTGAACGGATTTTTTATAATCCTGTCTGCATATGGAAATTTTTTGACAAATACAAATTTCAAACAAATCGGTATTTGCACATTGGCTTGTTTAATATTTTTGACATTTAATGCACGAATTTCCAATGGAATCTAACGTGATATTATTATTAGCCTTATTGTATTTTCGTATAAATTGCATCCAAAATTGCACTTTAACACGAATAGGAAGATAAATCAGTTTGGAAACAATCGAATCATTTAAACAGAGGTACCATTTTCAAAAGCCCTTCCACTCAACCGACCTTCAATTACACGAGTTGAAAGCATTTTGGCAACAATATTTGCCTGGGACTGCACTTCAAAAGCCGCTCGTAACTCACCTTGAAATTGAATTTAATGGAAAAGTTCAGTGCATGGAGCTCAACTCGGCAATTGGCAAAAGGATAAAATCAATCAAATCGTCCGTAACTCAACGCCAGCGATTTGCCAGCAAAATCAATCATAATTACTCCTCGTTTCCCCGAGATGTGGACCAAGTATGGCGCTTCAAAATGCATTTTGGAGCAAAATGCGATTACGATTTCGTCAATACTTTGCAGAGTATAACACATAAGTACTTTTGTAATTAAATGCGTTAACCAGTCGGATCTATTCAGTTTAGTTTGGCGAGCTCTGCTGGCCGGCAAACATTTCAATTAGACAAACTTAAACTCGAAATTGATGGGCCTAAACCTCAAACGGCCGGGCTTGGTCGGACCGGGTTCGAAACCGGCTCTGCGTCCGGCAAACCGGCTGAAACCCGAAATGCCATGGCAATGAAGGCTCATTTCCGCACACACACAAGCTGAAATGCGCGCCAACATAAAGCAATCTGAACCAACAAGTGCACTGAAAATAATAAATAGTATAAATAAATAATAATAAATAATATGGTGCCACCCCTCCTTAGGAAGTAAAAAAGTTTAAATTTTAATGTTAGAATATACCTTATAGAATGATAATATATTATATTTATGCAATGTGCTGAAAATAGTTATATTATTTATATCATGCCTAGCATTCAATCAATTTGGATGTATATTATTAGAAATCTTTTTTTATGCTTGTACTTGCTGCACTTTTTCCAAGTGTATTCCCTCCCCGAAACCACCCGCAGCCCAGCCATAACCACTCCTCTCATTTGATTTTGTTTATTTGCAGAGGTTCTGTCGCCCCACCGCCCGCCAGCCCCGCCCACCGATTACTTCCAGTTCCACGTGGGCGGCTACGATCCGGCGAATTTGTTGCGGCCCAATGTGGATGCACCGGCCCTCGAAGGTTACATCGGTTGTGTGCGGGGCCTGAAAATCGGAACGCAGTTGATCGACTTGGCGGATATCAATGAAAGGAATATAGCGCCCAGTAAGTAGGCAGTATAAATCAATTTTCACTGAGTGCAATTTTCGGTTGGCCCCAATGCCATTTTGGTATAGTGTTTGGTTCCTCTGAATCGTGATAGTCCTGCTCCTGCTCCTGCCCCTGCCCCTGCCCCTGCCCCTGCTGCTCGGATTCTAATTCATAGGCCTCCAAATCGACTCCATTCTGCGTCGTCTGCGGTTGTGGTTGCATCTGTGGTTGCTGCCTAGCTAACTTAATATGCATGCAATTTCCGTTAAGTGCTGGGGACTCGGTGGCGAAAATGTAGAGAGATGGCCAACAGAGCAGGCCACTTTGGGGCCGCGCTAAGATTAATGCCAATGCGATAAGATGCCGGCCCACATGGCGTATGATTTATGCGGCCACGTAGCGCGGAAATTGCAACCTGACTTTGATGCTATTAAACACAGCCGCAGTCAATGTAAACACACTGAGTTAGATAGCCATTTCTTTCAATAAGGTTTCGCTATTGGTAATTGAATGTGGTCGCCTGCAAATGCAGCAGTTGGACGAGATTGGGAGGCCTAACCACCAGAACATGATACAAATCTGCTTAGCTCCTTACTCACAGTTTTTGGACACAATTCTTTGCAATTCCAGCCCAGGAAGGTGTCCTGCCCAACTGCCAGATCAAGTGCGATGCAGAGCCCTGCAAAAATGGCGGCACCTGCCAGGAGCACTTTGCGGAGCAACTGTCCACCTGCGATTGTGAGCACACCAGTTTTCTGGGCGAATTCTGTTCGGAGGAGAAGGGAGCCGACTTCAGTGGCGAATCGACGCTGCAACGCAAGTTTGAACTGCTGCCTGGTACGGGTCGCGTTGACTATGTGCGCCTGCAACTGGCCTTTTCGTCCTTCGACCTGAGGCGCGCCAATCGGATAATGCTACTGATGCAAACGGAGGCCGAGCGCAGCTACTACCTTCTGTTGGCCATCACCTCCGACGGGTACCTGCAGCTGGAAGAGGACCGGGACAATGGACAAACGGTGGGTGCCCGGATCGATCGGAATTTCCTGAACAGCGCCAGGCACTCGGTATATTACGTAAGGAATGGCACCCAGTCGCAGCTCTTCATTGATCGCGAGCAGGTGCCGCTCACCGAGTTTGCCGCACGTGTCCTTACCACCGGGGGCGATGCTGGCTCGAATCGCGTCCAGATCGGTGGCATCAACAGCACGGACTCGCGGTTCGCCGTCTTTAAAAGCTACAGCGGTTGCCTGTCGAGTGAGTGCCGTAAATTTCCTACCCGTCTGCCATTAATTTCGTTTCGGTCCCATCAAGTGACATCCCCTGCACTCCCTTTGCTAAGAAAAAAATCAAAATACAGTACACCGAAAGAATTTAGTAAGATACAAACGCATATCCTAAAATGTCACCGAAAACTCCTTTGTAGTTAAATGTAGGCTATAGTAGTCAAACTGAGAACTATATGACATTATTTTTGAGTTCAGTATGATTTGTTTTAGGATTAATGTGTTATTACAGTGCGCCCTCCGCTTAACTGCTGCACTTTATGAACTCACTGAGCTGGGCTCTTGAAACTCGGCGGGCGAGGGGTGCTACCAGAGGAAAACTGCTCCACATTGTTGACCAAAAATTAAATTTATTCGCTGCCATAAAAAGTCATTTCCGTGGCCGTGGCGTCGTTGCCATAAATTCTGTCAGTTTTTGCTCTCAAGATTTACAGTGGCTCATATTTAAATTGCTGCTTTGCTGCCACTCCAAAAACCGCAGCACACTGGCCAACACTTTGATTAAAAATTTACCCGTGCCCCCATTCCCGCCCCTCCATCGCCCATAAAGCAGCTGCTCAGCCAGCCACGCCCACTCCACATGTGGGCGGCCGTAAAACTTCCTTGATCACTCCATTAAAGAGGCATCGAACTATACTGTGATAGTTTGGTCGTTAACAGGAACATAAGCTTCAGCGTACAGTGAGCAAAAATCGAGGCTGATAATCAATTTTATAGTATTTTATATCAAGGTGCTCTAAAGAGTGCTAAAAAATATTATAGTCCCATTAAAAGCGTTATTTTCCCATTGCACTTTAACTAATGATTTCAAAGTTTTTAAACTTATTAAGCGCATTAGCACAAAGAGAAAGTCGCACGATTCGGTCTAATCAAAAACTAAGCTTAATTATAATCTGAGCCAACTGGAAATTCCATTAATTGCCAATATAGATGGCCACTCCCCTGCGTTGTTGGAATTTGCCGATGGGCATTAAAAACGTTATTGCTAATTTCGGGACGGGCATAAAACACGCACGAACGACTTGCCACGGGTCCTTGAAACAGGACCAAAGTCAGTCGAGCCCAGTCCTGCGAGCCAAGAAGGCAAACGTAATTCCAATTTCCACTCACTCGCCGTCCACACACATTTGCATTTCAATTTGAATTAATGACCAATACTAATGAAAATTTCGATGCCCCCTGCCCGCGCACTTCCGCTTGCGCTGCCACTGAAAACCACCGCAAATTGGGTACACCAACCACCGCCCCCACCGCCAGACATCTATATACAGGTGAACGGGCATGTTATGAAGCCACTCGAGGAGTACATGCTATTCACAAAGTCCGGCGCCGACAACATAACCGTCATCAATCCGCAGGGCGTACGGAGCGCCCAGTGCAACGCCAAATTCGATGTGAGCGAGCAGCCCACCCAGGAGCCCATGGTTAATGTCAGTATGGTAAGTAGACACTGGCAAAAACTTCGACATATATGGGAAAATATTATAGGGTAACAGACCCATTACCATACCTAATCCATCGTCCGAACTGTGGTTATGCTCCAGTGAATGGTATTTAAAACATATAAGATGTATTTGTGATCATGTACAATTGATTTTTTCCTGATGATATCAGCTCTGTGATAAAAAAGACTTTTTCTTACAACTGAAATTTTTTGTCAATGCAAAGAGCGACTGCCTGTTGGGCGCTCCGAGAATCGGATTATCCGAGGCAACCAGGCGACAAATTGTGCTAATGAATACCCTCTACCTGTACACCTGTGCACCACAGATTCCCGAGCCGTGGGTGGAGGAGCCGCCAGCCCGTGTCCCCTACATACCGAGATTCGTGTACGACGAGAACAAGCAGGAGGACTCCACGCAGGTCGTCTTCCTCACGCTGACCAGTGTCTTCGTCATTATCGTGATATGCTGCCTGCTGGAGGTGTATCGCAGCCACTTGGCCTACAAGAAGCGCATCGAGCGCGAGACGGACGAGGACATCATCTGGTCCAAGGAGCAGGCAACCAAGATGCACGAGTCGCCAGGTGTTAAGGCCGGCCTCTTGGGCGGCGTGACGGCGGGCTCGGGGAATGGCCTGCCTCCATATTCCTACAAGGCGGTAAGTAATGGCTTTAGCAGACAACTATCAAGCTGCATCAACTTACTTAAGAGACACTGGCAAAAACGGGTAGACTTTTGGGTTAAACGAGATAGAATGCTATAGTCGAGTTCCCCGGTAATCAGATACCCGTTACTCAGCTATAACGTTACTCTTTCTATAACATTAGAAAAATTACAAAAAAAAAAAAAAAAATAAATTTCTAAATTTAAATGCAGTTTTTTAGAGAATCGCTCCAGAAACATTTAGAGGTATGCCACTTCAAAATCCGATTAAGATAACTTGAGTTATGGGGCTTAGAACTTCAGTCTTGGGACATTTCTTCATTTTTTTGAATTTCTTCAACATCATAACATCAAAAAATGACAAAAAATTAAAAAAAAAATAAATTTCTAAATTTAAATGCAGTTGTTTAGAGAATTGCACCACAAACATTTAGAGGTATGCCACTTCAAAATCAGATTAAGATAACTTGAGTTATGGGGCTTAGAACTTCAGTCTTGGGACATTTCTTCATTTTTTTGAATTTCTTCAACATCATAACATCAAAAAATGACAAAAAATTAAAAAAAAAATAAATTTCTAAATTTAAATGCAGTTGTTTAGAGAATTGCACCACAAACATTTAGAGGTATGCCACTTCAAAATCCGATTAAGATAACTT